CTTCATTTTGTTGTTTGAAAAAAGACAAAAAAGGGAGAGAAAATTATGAGAACGGAAATTTTGTTTCAAAAAGAGGGCAATAAAAATCTTGAGGGAGAGAAATTGATTTTTAAAAACATTAAGTTATTTTGAGAGTAAGAGAGCCTTTTCAACCATCCAAAATTCCATTAAAGCTAGAACTTGACACATCTCGCTGAAATTTCATAACATACACCATAACCGTGAGGATGTAAAATAAGAAAGTTTGTTGATCAGAAAATTCATTTTTTCCCCCAAAGGTGAGTTTTCGTACTTTTTTCGTTTATTTTCTTTTTTATTTCTCTTATCTTTAAATATATCATACAATATGGTAGACATGGTTAGCTGATTTAGTTGATTTATCTGATACAATTTTTTTATTTTCTTGCATTGGTTTTACTGTTTTAAATATGCAATTTTTTTATTTTATTAATAATATAAATAATATCATAATATATTAATTATATTATGTTGTATATTATTATAATAATATATGTTTTTCATGCGGTGGTGGGTGAAACCACCACGCATACTTCTCTTAAATATATGTGTATATTTATTATATTATTATTATTACTACTACTACTACTACTACTACTACTACTATTATTATGTATATTATAGTTGTCTATGTTATATTATTATTATTACAATATTAAGTTTGTTAATAATTTCCAAACCCTACATCTTTTATTCGGTATTGTAAATATTCGGTGTTGTAATTATTTTTCACCCCCTCTTCTTTCTATCCCTTTCATTTACTTGCCATATCTGTAAATAAGCATCATGTTTTTTTTTTTTTTTTTTTTTTTTTTTTCATTTTTCATCATATCCGTGCTTTGCATCTATGTTTCATGCATCTTGATTCAGCTAAGTTTGCATCTATGGGTTTAATCAATTATTGTGTGATTATATGCACTGCCTCATGCTTTTGAGATGATTCACATGTCATGTTTTAGTAGCTTAATCTACAGTTGCATTTTGTGTATATATATATTGTATTAGGATTTGTATATGAGATCATGCATATTTCCTAACTTTGTTTTACAACTGTTCGCGAGACGTCAGTAAATATGTGAGTTTTTATGATTTAGCATCCCGTTTGTGTGTACTTTTCTTATTATGCCAAGCATTCTACCATGTGGCTACTTGCTTATATGATATATCTCTCTGAGTGCCAGTGGATGGAGGTTGTGTCATTTAATTTGGAATAATATTGGTTTTATTCTTGTTCGCTCGATTTCTTTTAAGTTGCACATTTTCAAAACTATTTCAAAAATACATGGAATCAAGTTGTTCCAAAATGAATGATATGGTCTATACTTGTTTTCTTCACATAGTAAATTTTAAGATTTATTAAATAATCAAAACATGATCATGTATTGTCTATAAAATTCATATCATGGTTTAATAGAGGCCGATCTTTTAATCGGGTGAGAGGGGGTGCTCAATTAATGACGTTCCCCTCTTATACCTAAGATCCCGAACTAAGCATCCTTGGTTATGACGAACAGTGGCCTTGGCACGAGTCACAAGCTTTCTAATTTTCCCGAAATATTAGGTGGCGACTCTAAGATCCGGTGATGTAATCCATTTATGGTAACGATTTTGCAATAAAATGGATTTTCTATAAAAGCTATTGGCTTTGGACTCTCATATACGTTTCAAATTGCACTCGTGAGACTAGATCAAAGAAATCGATAGTCCAAACTATTTAGCGCGCACGAGTACCCCCGAGGTGATGCGACAACTTGACTGGCTTTTAGCACCTCCCCTCTTGCTCCCATTTTCTCTGTTATGTAACCATGGTGGTTGTAGTAAAGAGAAGAATTTGAGCTACTTTAGAAGAAGGTGAGAGGAAAAAAGTTTAAAAAAAGAAAAAGAAAAAGAAAAAAAGAATGTAGTAATCGTTATATATATATGGGGTAAAATGGTCTCTTTATTATTTCCATTAATAGTGTTAATGATGCGTTTTAGTCCACAAACTATAAAGGGATTATGTGGTTATTTCTAAATGATAAAGGGATGATCCGCACATGGACCAAGGGGCAAAGTGAAGTTTGTCCTATAAATAATATTTTAGAAGTGCTAAGAGGAAATAGGTGTCAATCCTGATGCAATTATCAAAGAATCATAAATGGCCAAAAAAAAAACACGAATATCAACTTTGGTAGACTTACTAATAATTTAAAAAGAAAAGCAATTTTAGATTGTTAGTCTAGCAAAATAATAAATAAAATAATTAGTGCAAATATTATATTAACAATGACAAATAATAATAATATATACACAAGAAACAACAGTAGAGAAATATAGTTGTGAGACTCTAGGAGTCGCATTGTCATTGTCCTAAAACTATTTCTTCTCCCTTGGTGATGGTACAACCAGAGTGAAGTAGTTTCAAGATAAAACACAAGTTACTCACAGCGTCCCTCATATAATATTCACGCTCTCCAAATCGTATTGAAGCCCTTTTCCCGCGAAATTATTTCGCAGGAAGTCATTTGGGAGCTCTATCTTTCACGTCTTTGTAACTCCATCATTCCCATCTTTGCATCTCTTTTCCTCATCAAGGTATATACCCTTCTCAATCTATATCTACTTCCTCTTCATGGTCAGCAAAACCCTTACTTTTCTATCACTCCCTCTTGAACCCACCTACCTGCGAAACCCTATGTTGTACCCTCCTTTCCCCCACTCTGCAACTCCCTCACTCTATGCATCAAACTTCATCTTCAGACATCTCCTATATATAAAACCCTCTTCCAAAACCCCTTTGCAAAACCCCTAATATCCTTTCGTATGACCCCTTCAACTGGATTAATTTATGAAATTAGGAATGTGTGTGTATAAGGTTCTATTATGAAACAATGGTTGTATGTGATAGATTTTGAAAGAAACATAGTTTGGTAAAAATAGTTTGACAGTGATTCACTATGTTTTCCGAAGACCCAAAATCTATTCAATTTAGTAAGAGATGTATGATTTGAATTTATTGAAATGGACTGGATGTTTAATCTATTTTCTATAATTGCTTTGTTCTGTATGAAATTTTAATTGTCTGTTCTGTATAAATTTGTACCCAATTGTTTTGTTTGTACTATATTGAATTATCAACTAATGATTGAGAAATGGAGTCACCATGTTCACATGTAAGATTTCTTGCTCCGTTATTGGTTTGAACTATCATGTAAATAATACCACGTGGTGATCCAAGAGCCCAATAATTACCCAATGAAAATTTAGCAACATATGTACAGAAAAAATAAAAATATTTTTCTAAAAGGCTATCTACTACTCAATCACTAATGGGTTCTCTTCTGTTACCATGAAAATTATCACTACATTGTTTGATACAACCACAGAAAAATATTAAAACATTGTCTAATAGAAGTTTTTATTTGTTGCAATGCTCACAATAATACCAAATGATGATAATTAGCTTAGGATAAATTAAGGGTCTAAAAGTCATATCTCTTTGGTGTTAAACAACTTTATACCTTACCATTTTTTATATATGCATATCTGTAGTGTAATCTTTATTTATGCATATTTTGATCTATTGCAAAAAAAAAGAAGAGATTTTGGTGAGCCAAATTATGCCACTATCGAATGAAAACTCTTGTTCACTAATAATCAACTTGACCGTAAAGTTTTTGGGTTTTTGGTGGTGTTAGTCGTTTTTTGGCTTTGGTTTAGCATTTGTTTGGCTTGACTACCAATGCCAATTTTTTTGGGATTTGCTCTTTAATTGGTGATGCTATTTTCCTTAGTTCCCTCATTTGATGTAATTGTATTGTACTTAGAGATTTTGGTGAGCCCAATTATGCCACTATCGAATGAAAACTCTTGTTCACTAATAATCAACTTGACAGTAAAGTTTTTGGGTTTTTGGTGGTGTTAGTCGTTTTTTGGCTTTGGTTTAGCATTTGTTTGGCTTGACTACCAATGCCAATTTTTTTGGGATTTGCTCTTTAATTGGTGATGCTATTTTCCTTAGTTCCCTCATTTGATGTAATTGTATTGTACTTGTACTCTTTATTACGTCAATATATATATTTTTTTGCCTTTAAAAAAATTTAAAAAACAAATAAAAACTTGAATGCATTGATTAACATGATCACTACTTGATTAGAATTGCAAGCATCTTGATGAATCCCACCATGATAACAACTTGGATAAAGAGTTTTCTATACATAATTTATTTGCAACACAAATTTTTTTTTTCTTGGGTTCCAATACAAAGTTTTTAGGTTTGGACTATTGTCTGTGGTAGTATAGGAATCATACTTGAGTGTTCACCAAAAAAAAAAAAAAGAGCCAAAACATGAAAAAATAAAACAAAAGGGTTCCCAAGCTGAGAAGGATTTCTGAATTTTTTTTGTTTGCTTAAGTTAAGAAAGAGGTTGTTATTTAGTATTGTGCCAAAATAGTTATGAACTGTTTTGGTAGTAATGACAATGGTAGTTCTGAACTATACCTTTGTATTATGATGGTTGTCTCTTAGATGCCTGTTATTAGATTCTAATTTATCTATGCTAAATCAAATACAAAGTATTCATTTTGATAGAAGTATTGTGATTGCTATTGAATCTGATGTTTCATATAACAAAGTCACATGCATGTTTGGTATGTTTTAGAAATTTGACTTTGCAGAATATTGGAGTTAAGCAGGAACTTGCAAAACTTTTAAATTCTATGGCTTGTAATAGCGTAATGGATATGATTATGAACGACTCTGATTCAGATCATGAATTGGAGATATTTACAATAGCTTCTATAGAAGAAGAGCAACTAAATAATGAGAGGTGAAAAAGATTAAGTCGTGGTTCTATTCAAGGTCATGCAATTATTTATCGTGATCAAGTTCAAGGCCACAAGAGACTTTATCAGGACTACTTCTCTAAAACACCTACATATCCTCCAAATTTATTTAGGAGGAGGTTCGGATGAGTCAATCTCTATTTCTTAGTATTCTATCTATGGTGGAAGCACACGATCCTTATTTTGTCCAGAAACAAGATGTTATTGAAGTCATTGGTCTGTTTTCTCTTCAAAAGATGACAACTACTATGAGGATGCTCATTTATGGAGTAGCAGCAGATTTTATGGATGATTATGTAAGGATTGGAGAAAACACTGTAATAGAGAGTCTAGAAAGGTTTGTTAAGGCAGTGGTTGTGATTTTTTCAGATGTGTACTTGAGAATGCCACACAATAATGACATTGCTAAATTACTAGCTGTTGGAAAAAATCATGGTTTTCTTGAAATGTTAGGAAGCAGTGATTGTATGCATTGGAAGTAGAAAAATTGTCCTACTACATGGAAAGGTATGTATTGTGGTCACATCCATGCACCGTCTATTATTTTAGAGGCTGTGGCTTCCTATGATCTATGGATATGGCATGCAGTTTTTGGATTACCAGGATCTCATAACGACATCAATGTGCTAGAACATTCTTTTGTATTTTCTGTCTTTGCTGAAGGGCATGCTCCTCCAATTAATTACTCAATCAATGGACATGACTATAAAATGGGATATTATCTTGCCGATGGTATATATCCTCAATGGCCAACATTCGTCAAAACAATCTCATGCCCACAAGGCAATAAGCAATTACATTTTGCTAAAGCTCAAGAGTCAGCAAGGAAGGATGTCGAACGAGCATTTGGAGTGCTTCAAGCACATTTTGCAATTGTGCAAGGACATGCACATTTTTGGAAATGTGAAACCCTAAAAGATATTATGAAGGCATGCATAATATTGCATAACATGATCATTGAGAATAAGCAGAATGTCAATAATATAGACTTCAATTATGATGCAATTGATGGAAGTCCTCCTCTATCTGTATCACACAAGTGCACATCTGAACTTTATGAATTCATTCAAAATCACCATTACATTAGAGATAGACAAACTCATTCTAAACTCCAAGAAGACCTAATTGAGCATTTGTGGCATCAATATGGAGATTCATAAAAGCTTTGTGTATTAGATATTGTTTATTTATTTTGAAGTTTATTCTTGACTTTGCTATTTGTGATTTTTCCCCCTCCCTAATTTGTTCCTTGACCTTTGTAAGGTTTCTGCTTAGTTAATTTGTGTTCTTTTAATGCTTAAATCGACAAATTATTAAAGAACTTCCTTTATGTTATATATATATATATATATATTTCATACTCCATATCATTCCATAGATTTTGCATGCTTTTAACATACTAGTCAATTTCTTTGATTGGTTTAAAGGGTGGGTTACATTAGCACCTAACAAAGAGGTGATCATACATTTCATTGCAATATTATGGATTATTTGGAAGCAGAGGAATGCTATTGTTTTTAAAAATTCTAAGACTCTAACCAGTGTTGCTATAAGCCAAACCCAAGAACTAATAGTTGCTGGTGCAGTGTAACAATCTATTTTTTTTTCTTTCTTCATCGCTCGAGTGACGGATTGTTCACTCGAGCAGTCTTGCGAGTCATCCAGTACTTTTGTAGGTCTGAGATTCTGCGTGATGTTAAGGTTCACTCGAGCGTGGGTTGGTCGCTCGAGTGGTCTGCTCTTTGTTGGTCTGGACTTCTAGGAGTGTGCATTCTACGCTCGAAAGTAGGTTTCATCACTCGAGTGATCTGTTCAGGATCAGCACTTTAAAAAGTCACTTTTGGATCAAATCTAGATCATTTTCTCTCTCTCATTTTCCTTTGTTCCGTCATTTGTTAGGGTTTCAATCTTTCTAGCTTGGATTTCACCTCCTTCCACTCAAAATCTCACCCTAGTTCCATATACCAAAATGTAGAGCACGAAGAGAGCTTTCACGTAATCTGAGCGGATCGTGTTTTCATCGAAGTTAGATTTTTAGGCTTCTCCTCTTTTTGCTAGAGGTAGGGATTTCTTTCCTTGTTTTCAATACTATCTTATAGATAGACATGTAGTATATTTCTATTGCATAAAAAACATGATTTAGTTATGTGATTTTAAATTCATAAAAGGTTTTTTTTTTTGTTTTGGGAAGGGGGGTTGAGTCATGGAAAATGAAATTGTATGTTTTTGGGAGGTTTTGGTGTATTAGAAGGTATTCTATCTTCTTTATATCATGAAAGAAGGAAAAACCCTAATTTATATTACTAAAGGTTTGATGAAATCATAAAAGGGAAAAGTTGGGTAATAATTATGTTATGTATTATGTGGATTGTATTAGTGTGGTAGTTGCTAAAAAGTGAGGTTAATCAAGATGTTGAGATTTGTTTTGAGAAATATATGTTGAGTTGGGTTGTGGTTTTGGTCAACTATGGATTTGGAAATTATTAAAGAAGGAAAAAGGAATATTTTGGAACATGGTTAGAGTATTGTGAATTGGGAAAATAAGGAAATTGATTTGAAAAGTAAATGATATTATAACTTTTTTATAAATTAAGAATAAATGAGAGGTTGGACATTAAACATTTGATCTATGTTAGTGTTGTTGCTGGGCTTATGTCCCACAAGATTTGGGCAATTGTAGCCATGCATATTAAACACATGTGCCTAGAGGTTTTGTCATTAGTCATTGGTAGAGGATGACATTGATGTGTTGAATAGATTATGTGTATGTATTACGTTTGTGTTATTACGCTTTTTAGTATGTTGTAATGGTTCGTAATGTATACTGCGTTAAGAATGAGATGTATCATTACCTTCCAACTAACGCATGGAGAATTAGCTGCGCTTAGAATTAGAGGTTCCAGTACCTTCCAGCTAGCACCTAGACAACTTGGCAGAGGTACAATTCCTTTCCAACTTGTGTCTGGTAAATTGGCACAAGTACCATTACCTTCTAGGTTGTGTCTGGTAAATTGACAATTCAATATGGAAAGGTATATCCTTGGCTTACCATACTTAAGGCAGGGAGAGCATGGGTTGGGGTTTTAGTGTTGAACTAGTTTATCTGTAAGTTATCGTATCTGGTAGCAGTTTGGTTGATGAGGTCAGGTTGTCTCATATGATTATGTAGTAGTCTTGGCATGTACGTTATTTTTTTTCATGTTAAAAGTATTGTATGTAGATTTAGGTGTCAAACGGGTTGTAGAAATGTTTAATTACCCTTGGCTTAGGGCATGGAAATGTGATTCATGTATTAGAAATGGAAGTATGTGATGGGTTGGGAGTGTAAAAAATGAAACGGGATTGGGTTTTGTGAATACATTATTGAAAACACATTGTTAATATATATTCTTTATGAAATGGATACTATACGTGAAAGAAAAGAAGCCGTTATGTATTGTTGAGCAAATTTGACGATTTTTGGAAAAAGTTTATATATCTAGTTATACTTTGATTATAAACCATCACATTATTATGTTGTACAATATGAGGCATTCACGAACATAGCTATCTGTATGTTGTTATTGTTTAAGATCATGTTGGGATCCCTATTGAGTTTTATGCTCATCCTACTTTGATTTTTTTTTTCCAGGTGCAGGTTGATAAGTGATACAAGATCAGTGATCTTCTTGATGTGTTGCCCGCGAGGCCTTTATTGTATTAAGGATTAAACCTTTTCTCTTTATGTAACTGTAGACACCCCATTTTTGACAGTCCTCAAGACTTGGAAGTCACCGTTTGAACACTCGGTGATCATCCATGTTTGTGTTCGTCTTGAGTTCCCGGAGGTCTCGGCCACGCGCCCTGCCTCAGGATCTCTCGACTCGACTGTTTTGTGTCTGGTTTTGCACCAAACACTTGCGTTTTTGCTTTGGAGGGCAGGGAATGGCTTGTTGGCTATCCCCACACCTCACCGGCTATGGCTTGAGGCTACCGGCTATTGGTTTGTTGCCATCGGCCAAATGTTTGGCCGACTGGCACTCTTTGTGGTCGACCGGCCATCCTTTTTGGTCGAATAGCATTTTTGGCTGCCCGACCACTGTACATCTGCTTTTACAGATATTTTTATGCCAGCGGTGCTAGCTGGCATACACTTTGCTCCCCTCCATACATGTGTATTGAGGGATCTCCCTCTTGACTAGCTTACTTGAGAAGCTTTGCAAGAGTGAGCTCTATAAGAGGGAGCCTCTTCTCCCTCCATTAGGGTTAGAGAAAAAAGCTCCAGGGGTCTGGTTTTTAGGGTTAGAAGTGTGTGTCTATTCTATCTCTATACCTCCCTCCCTTGTGAGTTAAGTGTGTGTTTGTTCTTACTATTGCACACAAACACCTACTATTATACCTTTCCTTAGTTGCTGAGGCATTAGAGGGTTGATCTTGGACTTTTTGAGCTGGTTTTGATCCAAGAAGAGGTCTGGTCTTGTGATCTTGGAAGTGTTCTTCAAGGGTGAGTGTTCTTGCCCTTTATTCCCCATTTTTGCATGGGATTCCATCTCATGCTCCGGGGAGTCCGCGCCTGTGGAAGATCGTCTGTCATCTCAGAGAGAGTGTGAAAATGGTCAAAATATGGAAACCGGGCTAGAATGCGAAAAGTCAACGGAAAGTCAACCCGAGAGACGGAAAATGGCCAGACAAGCCGGAATATGGAAAAGGCACGAAGATCAAAAGGAACTCGGGGGAAACAAACCCCAAGTGCGGAAATCAAGAAAAGGACACCAAAACGAAGTTTCGTTCGGTTCAAAACGTTTGAAACGACGAGGTATTCGAGAATCGAACGACGAAAGTGTTGAAAAACACAAGAAAATGGAGAAATAAAGGAAGGAAAATGATCTAGAGAGAGAGAGGAAGAGGTTTTCGACCACGAACAAGTGAAGAAAATAGGGCTAAGAGGCCCTATTTTAAAAGACCCGAGGCCAAAAGACCAAACTGGCCCCGATCCGTCGGCCACACTGTGTGCCGCGTCGGCCAAATATTTGGCCAGTAGACTTTTCTGATGGCCGGTGGACAGCCGGTGACCTCCCCTAATGGCCGCGTGAAGCCCCTACAACTTGTTTGGGCCAGAGGTGTGGTTTGTGGGTCTTCATTGCTCAAAGACAGTGCAAGAAAGTGCATTTCTGAAGCTCAGTCAAGTCTCCGTTTCGACCTCAGATCGTGTCTTCTGTGCGTCGCACCTGAATACGGTGTGCGGTGTACCTTTTTTGAATCTTTTTGTCTCTTTCAAGATTTGAAAGTTGCCCCCACATGCATTGTCTTGCATTTGCATACCTTACTTGCATTGTTTTGCATTTTAAATCGCCACGGTTCTGGCGAGACTTTAAACAGGCTCGGTTAGGAGACCTTAAATCCTCTAAAGGTGCAAGACCTTGGTTTTTGCATGCATACACACGTCGTAACAAGCCCAACTTGCATTAATTGTGCACTGTCTACATGCTTATCATGCATCTCAAGCAACACACATTGTCGCCACATCGGGTCCTACATGCATTGCATGCGTTTCAACGACGCGCGTCGTTGCATATTCGATTCACATGCATTTCAAAAGCTGCGCGTTGTCATGCATTCCAAGATCATTTGCATTGTCATGCATCTCAAAAGCCGCGCGTTGTCACGCGTTTTAAAATCATGTATCATCATGCATTTGCATTTTCAAAAAAAAAAAAAAGAAAACAACAAAAACACAAAAAAAAACATGCATTTCATTGCATTTTCCTTTCATGCATTGCATTGTTCCTGCATTCAAAAAAAAAACAAAAAACAAACAATGCATATGTCATGCATTCACTGTAAATAGTGCACATTGTCATGCATCATTGTAAATAGTGGCATATGTCATGCATACCACTGTATATAGTGCATATGTCATGCATTCCATTGTTAATAACTGCATATGTCATGCATTTTACTGTAAATACTCCATCCATTGCATATTTGTAAATATGCATTGTAGCTTGCATGCATTCACTGCATCACTCCCATGCTATGGCTTGCGCCTTTCCATGTTGAGCTTGGTCTGGTATGTGCCCATACTTTTCACGTCAAAGCATAGTTCTGCATGTGTACACGCCTATTCCACTGCTGGTATTGTGGTTTTGAGGGTTGCGGCACCTTTTTTGTTTAGACGTGG